CAATTATCTCCCCCTTTGGATGATTATGTCCCGGAATCATCAACGAAACAGGGCTCGTATAATGACTCCATACGTCATCTATTCATCCTAGGTAATATTTTATAACTTCCATATTCCTTCAAGTCTATCTCTTAGAGTCATTGACTGCAAGCAGTACTCGATCGTGCACCTGCTCTCTACCTCAGGTTAGACTCCAAATTATGACCTATCATCATGTGATGCATGTTTAGACTCAGGTCTCTTAGTGTCAAATTTTAAAACAATCTATGCCTTCCTTCGTGTTCTAATGTGATATAATCACACTACCAACTTCTTTAACAACGAGTGTGATACTTCTATTATTCGTTTTGATTTCAATCGTTTGGTTTAAGTCGGACGCAACACCGATCTTGATTTTCTAAACCACATAGCATAATTAGCGTAGTCGGACTCAATTCGATATGACCACTGTCGGAATATCAACAATCTTCTTAGTCATCACCGAAACAATGGTAACGACATACTTGAATAAAACGAAATTAATTACTAGCTTCTTAGTAACTTTGTGACTTTCCCTGATCCAAGTGTGAGTCCTGTGCTTTCGGTAGTATATGCATCTACTACGTTTCACACCTACTCATACTCATCCCAAGTATTGTCTCGTAGTCCCCAAGTCACCATACAAGAAAATCACATAACAGTTTAACACATCAGATAACAAAACGAAGGTTTTATTATTTCTTGAAACTATTACATAGGTGTTCAAGTTCACCCTAGACTATGCCTCTAATAGGCTACATCATACGATACTATGGCTACTGCATAACTCGATCTTCGGATATGAAGTCCTCATCCTTGATTCCTCGCACGGTTTTCTGCTTCGTCGAGGATCATGTGGAATGCCCGTGGTCTCGGTGGCGTTTCTAGTCTTGCTGCTTTATTTTTGCCCAGGCAGTCCCTAGAAATATGCCCTTCCTTGTTACATCCATAGCACACCTTCTTGTTGGACACACACTTGCTGGCGTAATGCCCTATCTTTCCACATTTGTAGCAAGTCACCTCCTCGCTACATTTCTCGAAGTGCTTCTTTTTACACTTCTCGCACCACTTGGTTTCACCTCCTCCTCCTTCTTCAGTCTTTTAGAATTTCCTTTCTTTGTTGGATTTTGAAGATCCTTCATGCTTCCTTTTCTCGCCAACTTCAACTCTCTCCAGACCTTTTTCCCTAATCTGGGTCTCAACATTCCTGGCTGCCCAGATGGCTCCTTTCAAAGTGGTTGCTTGCTTGACCATTGGTCCAAAGTCTGCTGGTAATCCATGGGCAAACTTAGTGACCTTGGAGAGCTCAGTTGGAACTAGATAAGGAACAAGCTTCATTTTCTCTGTAAAACTTGCAGCATACTTGATGACACTCATCTTTCCCTTCTTTAGATTCTAAAACTCTTTGTTGATCTCCAGAAGATCCTGCTCAGAGTAGTACTGCATTTTTAACTGCAACAGAAAATTCTCCCATGACATCTTGCTCGCTTCTCCTTTGGGCATCGAATCAGCTAGTAGCTTCCACCAACTTAGTACTCCAGATTTCAACAAGGGAACCGCAAGAGAGGTCTTCTACCTGTTGCTACATTCTCAACTCTCAAACATCGTCTCTATCTCAAAGATCCAGTTCATGACTTCCACCGGCTTCGGGCTTCCAGATAGACTCGGTGGTTTGGACGCCATGAAATCCTTGTATTTGCATCCACGTCCATCATTTCCTCCATCCTGGTGGTTTTGCCTAACTATTGGTGAGTTGTCTTGACCAACAATCCCACTGTAGTTTCCCTCCTCTGTCTGCCCTTCGTTCAACTCGGGCTGTTCGATCTGTATGGTCGTTTCTTCTCGATTTTGCTGGAGCAAACGTCTGGTTTCCTCCATTTGACGATCCAACATCGCCTGGATCATCGCTTGCACTCCGGCCATTGTTATTGGCTCAGCAGCGGCTACCACAACCGGTATTTGCTCAATCACTAGGGGTTGGTTTCGGTTCCTATTTGCATTCACGTTTCCGCTACGGGTCATTGCCATCTTGATCTATACACTGAATAAGGTGAATCTAGATCTTTATTTAGGATTGACGTTTAAATCATCCTTATCACTCCGAAACGTTTATATGCTAGTTCTAATATCGTATTCGTACGTTTAGAATCCTAAACACATAAGGTTTCCAGATCCGGTCGGCAACAGACCATAGATCCGATCAAACTATAGCATCATTTAGCACGTAAAAGCAATTTAGGCATCATTCCTAAAATAAGCTAGTGCTTGTGTCTATTCAGGTGTATTACCTAAATCTATTTGACACAATCCTCACAATCATCACTTAGCATTCTAAGTTTAAGTCTAGAAATAAATCCATATTCCTAGTTCGCTTAAACTAATGCTCTGATACCAACTGTGACATCCCCAAAATCACGGCCAGAAAAGACCGGTTTTGTTTATGCTTTATAAAAATCAGAATACTTCTTTTCATAAAAATGTTGCGGAATTTGTACTCAGAAAAACACGATAAATACGCTATCAAAAAATTTTCGAAGAAACGTATTTTATTTATGTTAAAACGTTTGGGATGTCATCGTCAATACAGAAACATAAGCATAAACGGAACTTACATTTATTTACACTAGTGATCTACATCTCTTTAATCTCTCAGTGTAATGTGACTTCATATCAACACCTGTGATGTCAATAAACTGAGTGGGTCAGGTTGGGAAACCTGGTGACTACATAGGGTTTTCAACCCACAATAATATAAATCATTATGTTTAAACATTTAAGCAATCAACCCAATTACCCATCCCCATTCTCTTCTTTATGCTACTCTAAGAATTCAGCTATTCCTCGTTTATTTATTCCTAAGGGGTTATCCTAAGGAATAGGCACGAAATCCATCGTTGCGAAGGTTTACTCAACGAGCACTAAATCCATAGTTCCCAAGGTTTATCTCGTTTATTGACAGTATCGTTTCCGAGACTCCTCTCGCAATACAGGTGAATGGATTTTATCTCATTTATCGATGGTATCGTTTCCGAGACTCTACTCACAATACATGTCAATGGGTTTTTAGAGTACACCTGGTGAATACACAATTCAAAACACCTGTAGGTTGCGAGCCTGCTAGTGTCCACCGGACTGTCTAGAATAGTTCGTGGTTGTCATCCATACTCTGCTGGATGACAGGGCCATATCTTGGGAAAAAGGCTACTCTCATGGTTCACCTCTCACCCTAACCTCACGGTCTATATTACCTCTTCCTCATTTTATTTTTGTCACACATAAACTATTTCATCTACCCATGTTTTATCACAACATATTTGTAGATATAAAATACATATACAGTTTAAATCATTTAAAACATGTATAAAATCGTTCACCCAGTATAGAGGTATTCAGATAATATGCACACATAGCACGTAATTTATATAAAATACTTCATATCTATGTGTAAGCTGAAAGTAACTATGCACTCACCTGATAGGTGGTGACTCGGCACTCGGACAGCGCTTCGATACTCTCAAAACAACTTTCCATCGATAAAACCTAGTACCAATACCCCTAGGGTTTAGTCTAACGATAACCGCGACAAATTAATAGTCTGACTATTATTATTATTATATAAGCGTTAAATAACACTCAATATAACTCATAATAATAGCTCAAATAATTATTTTAAGGACCTAATAACATTCCTATAATTATTTGAAAGCTGTATTAAAAATTGCGTAAGCGTAACACACTTACAACGAATTTTATCGAAAACCGGAACTTAATTGGAGCAGCGTTCCGAAACCGAAAGGCTCTTTTTCTCGGGACTTCCCTCGGATTCTACGAGGTTTATCTAGGGTTTATAGGGCTTAAGGAGCTAGAGAGAGAGTGTGTAGAGAGAGAGAGAAGACTTTAATTGGTGTGGAAAGAAGGCTGCACCTTGCACCCTTTTTTAGCCCTGGAACCTCGGTTACGCTGGGCGTAATTCCGAGGTACGCTGGGCGTACTCTCGCATCGTACAACACGTTTCGCGCTTCGGATGGTGGTGCGTGGCTCTTTTGGGTTCGCAGAGCACAGCTGTACGTTGGGCGTTCCAAGCTAGGACGCTGGGCGTAATGCGAATGATGACGTGTCATCATCTGAAGAAGTCCTGATCATCATCGAACGGCTGGAATTCATCGATCCCGCATCAGATTTCGCAAATTCCCTTTCCGACTTCTAAAAATCATAACTTTCGCATACGAGCTCCGTTTTTGACGTTCTTTATATCCACGCGAAGGTGGGAACGTACTCTACGACTTTAGTTTAGACTCCGTCGGCTAATTTTGGCTTGATTTTAAATTTTATATTATTAACAGGCCGGGACATGATTGGTCCGTTAAATTCCCATAACTTCTTCATCCGATGTCCGTTTTCGCCCATCTTTTTCTCGTTACGCTACTCTTAACGGGATCTTCAATTCTCGTTTAGGTCGTGTAGGCTAAAAATCACCCGATCTAACATTCGAATTTCAGGTTGTACACTGTTAATCCGAAACTTCGAAAAATCATAACTTCTTCATACGAAGTCATATTTGGGCGTTCTTTTTATCGATGTTCTTAGTTTAACATATTATACGACTTTCGTTTAGATTGCTAAGGCTAAATCTCGCTCTATCGTAAATTCACTATTTACGCTTCCCGGTATCGTGGTGGTTCCGTCGCGAAATTTCAACGGGTCATAACTTCTTTGTTATAACTCGGATTTCGGCGTTTTTTATATGTACGGAAACCTTGTAACACATACTAAAACTTGGTTAAGATTATTTATTCTAAATGATCTTTTGTCAAAAAGTCGTTTTTGACCCTTATTGCTTCTAAATTAACTAGCCCAGATCTACGGGCGTTACATTTAATCCCATATTTAAACCTCATTCCCCACCTCTCTCCCGAACTTTCCTCCCACAATTCAATTTTCCTTCTCTTTTCTTCAAAACCCTAGAATCTAAACTCTCTTCAATGGCGGCATCACTGTTTACTTTCTCCTCCACCTCAAGAAGAGTCATCCCAGCGCCAAACTCTCCTCCTCTTCCCATATACATCAAAGCCACAAATGTCGTCTTCAACCCTGATATGCCAGATGTTCATCGCAGTCTTGGACTTGATGATTATGTCAATTTTCTAGTATCTTGCAGACTTCGATATGCTATGAGTGAGGTTCCATCAGAGTTCTTTCCCGAACAAGTATGTGAGTTCTACTACACCGCAACAGTCAATAATGAAAACAACATCATCTTTGGCACTATTGGGCGTGGCCATCGCTCAGTTTTCATCAATGCTGATCTCCTCCGTACTGCACTCAGGTTACCAATTTTTGAACCATTCTCTGAGCTTCCAACTATTGAACGCTGTCGACGCCTCTTTGACCAACTGGGATATGATCACTCCAAGGCTGGTGCTCGACCAGCTCTCATTCTACGTCAATGTATGACTCCTGGATGGAAGTTCTTCACTGGGGCACTTTGTAAGTGTATAGGCCACAAATCTCGCAGTGGTGATCAACTGAGTGCTTTTGAGCAACAGGTGGTATGTTCACTTCTCCTCAAGAAACGTGTTGATTATGGGGCTTTCTTCTTCGATCAGCTTGTCCAAATTCTTTGAGCCAATGTAAGAGCTGATCATGTTCCATTTCCACGCTGGATTGCTCTTGTCTTGGATAAATTTTATGCTGAAGCCTATTACTCACACGCTGGAAACCCCATCTAATGCCCACGCATGTCAGTACGAATGTAACAGGATGATCCACTGGCCAATGACATCGGCATCTCTGATCGGATGCAAGAATGGATCGCGAATCCATATACCATTCCTTCACTAAACGCTGACACTGATGAAGGAGCTGCTGATAACGACGAAACTAATGTTGAAATACAAGCTGATCCTACTCAAGAAGGTGGTCATATCTCCCCTCAACTTTCTCATCATACCATTTCTGCCACTGAAAGGGTTCCTTCAGCTCATGGGGAGTCATCTGCTTAGGGGGAGCAACCATCTCAGGGGGAGCAACCTTCTCAGGGGGAGCAACATCGATCACAAGAAATTCCAGGTACTCAGCTCATTCAAATTCTAGCCTCAGCATTTAATGAGCTTCTTACACTGACTCGAGATATGAGTCAGCGTCTTCTACGTATTGAGGCTGATGTCAACCAACTGAAGGGAGTTATTCTGTCAACTCCTTCCCCTGGCCCAAATGATGATGATGATCAAAAAGGGGGAGAAACTGATTTTGTTGATAGAACCTGTGAGCATGAATCTGGGGGGAACATTATAAAACAGACCGAGCCACCACAGCCTGAGCACGAGTCTGAGAGACTAGCAGAAACTGAAAAGCCTACTGAAGAATGTGAACATGATGATGAAGATGAACATGATGATGAGTGTCAGATGCTAGACATGAACATCATAGCTCCCACTATGCCAGTTCAAGGTGAAGACTCAGATGTAGTTAGTGAGGATCTTGTTCCTTTATCTCGAAAGTGAAAGGAAGAAGATACTGAATCATCTGATTCACATGCTGCTACTTCTCCTCCTAGCAAGAAACATAAGTCCATTGTCAGCATATCAAATCTGGCAGCTGAATGGAATATGAGCCCTGATCAAGTTAAGCAAATCCTTGATGAAGCCAAAAAAGCTCAGCTTCTAAAGGATATTGCTCAAGCTGATTAATCCCTCATTCAGCACAAACTTCAGGAAATGGGATCCTTTGAAGCTCAAATGCAAAGGTTTCTAGAATATCAGTCCAAAACTAAATCTTCACAGCCTCCTTCCAGTAGCAGTAAGTCAAGGACTGATAGTGTTCTTGACAGGATCGATCGCAAAAGGTTTCAAGATGTTTTCAAATGAAGAGTAACCAATGACAAGATCATCAAAGTTAAAACCTCAAAACCTCGTGACGAGAAAATCCTTACTTTGCTGATCACTCGTCAAGGTCCTCAACATATGTACACTGAAGTTATAAAGAGAGACGAGATGATTAGATACGGATACTCTGAATGGATGGAATTGATCGAGTTGGCATCCAAGCAAACTTCAGATCTTTCTTCAGAACTGACCTGTGCTCTTCACTTACTGATCAAGAAAGTTCAGCGTCTTGATCTTGTTCCTACAGAGCGTCCTCAGCAGCAAGGCCCAAGTTCCTCAGTTCCAAGAATCAAAAGAACTAGATTTCAAGTTGATGGTGAAGATGTATTGGTTCTAAATTTTGTTGCTGAAGAAATAAACAACTCTCTTCCTATTGGTGTTGAGCCGGTTCAACATCAGTTCATCTCTGTTCCTGAACATGGAATGTTTTATCTTGATAAGAACAGGAAAATGTGTTTTCATCGTACTGCAGAGATTCCAAGGGCTCCAACAGAACATCTTGTTGATTTAAGACAAATGTGCATGAGTCATCGAGATCTCTCTGGAGAGTTTCATATACTGATTGCTATGGAGTTACTGAATAGAAGACAGGAGCTGCTAGATAGTCCTTACTGGCCAGTGAAAGTAGAAGCTGAAGCTGAGTATGAAGAATTTTTGTCCAGGGGTGTTCAAATCTAGTTGGTTATGAACATCATCATATTGGGGGAGATTGTAAGTTTGAACCTTATAATATAATGATGTTTGAGACTGATCACTCAGCGTCAGCGTATGACTCAGCGTCAGCGTCAGCGTATTAATTATCCAGTGTATAGTTTCATATTCAACATTTTGTAACAGATTTTGTACTTATCTAGTTTCCATAGTTTTCATCTATTAGTTAGTTGGTATATCCCTGATTTGTAGGGATTGCCTAGATTAGTTCTATATAGTCTTTTGTACAAGTTTGTAAAAGTTGCATCTTTCACAAACCCTAATAGCCGCTTTGTGCATTCGATAATCGCTTTGTGATATTATCATTCTTAGTGAAAGTTTATCTTTGTGAGTCCTCGTTGTTCTTGTTTATAGTCATTGTTTGATAATTTGTTTGATCTTAGGAACTTTCACCCTTTGTCCTAAAAGTCTAGCCCTAGAGCATTTTGGGCTCATAGCTCCTGGAGTTCACGTAAAGTTTGCCACTTTACATGAGGAATGGCTTATAGGAGGGTAGATCTAGGGATTGGAGCACCTGCATGGCTTGGAAAGCCTCTGTATGGAATGAGAACTAGTGGTACTCGGCGAGTCACATGGGTGCACTCGACGAGTTGCATGAAGATAGGCAGGAACTCGATGAGTTGGAAGAAAAACTCGGCGAGTCTGTTGAAGATTGTCTTGGAGTCGACGAGTCTGTTCTTGGACTCGGCGTGTCTGGTCGTGGAGTCCTAAACTTTTCTGGTTGAACGGTGAATCGGTGAGTCGAGGGATGACTCGGTGAGTTGAGCGAAAAGGGATTTAGAATTGTTGGACTCGGGAGTCTTAGGGCGACTCGGTGAGTTGAGTCGTGACATGGGAGTTTCTGAGTATAGGGACTCGACGAGTAGGGTCACACAGGAAGGTTGACTTTGACTGAGGACTTTGACTTTGACCAATAGTTGACTAGTTGACTTCCAAGGGTACTTTGGTAATTATTGGTATTTATTGAGTTCGGTCTTTTGGTATTGATCAGTGGTGGAGTTTGTGTTAGAGGTTGGATCAGCGTGATCTTATCTCTTCAATCAGTAGTTGCGAGGTGAGTTATCCTCACTATATCGACAGGGTCTAAGACACAAAGGTCATCCCTTTATCGAATGGAAATTCGGGTAGTTGTTATGTTATTGCTTTGTTATATGTTTGCATCCTGGTAGTTAGGATGCTATATGTTAGAGACCTGGTTAAGGTTGGAATCCTGGTATATAGGATGATGCTATGTTAGTGACCGGTTAGGTCGGTATCCTGGTTAGAGTGTGTTATGTATGTGATCTGCTAGATCGGTTGATTAGTGATGAATTGCTATATGATTATATGTTTATGTGCACATGGTTAGTTGAATGGGGTTGGGTTGAGGCGGGTCATACTTTGTGCTATAGGCCAGCGTACCCAGGGCGGACCGGATATCCTGAAGGCCCAACGAGTGGTCCGGATAGGCTGTAGGCCCCACGAGGGCGGACCAAACGTGCTGAGGCTCGGAGAGTAGACCAGGCCGACTGAAGGCTCGGTGCGGGCGGACCAGTCATACTGTAGACTCAAAGAGTGGACCAGGTGGGTTGAAGGCCCAGTGCGGGCGGACCAACCACAATGCAGACTCGATGTATATGGCTAGACTCGGAGGGTGGACTGAAGGCCCGGTGCGGCGGACCAATCACACAGTAGGCCCGAAGTGCATGGTTGTTCTGTTTATGATATGATATGTTATGAGTATGGTATATGTCGTTGGTATTTTGGGGGTAATTCACTAAGCTTTCGGGCTTACAGTTTTCAGTGTATTGTTTCAGGTTCTTCCGGAGATCGTGGCAAGGTGAAGGCGTGATCGTACCGCTCCTCATGTTTTATGTACTTATGATGTGGTTCTGGGAAATACTATGATAATAAATGAATTGAAAACCTTTTTGTAAAGAATTAATGAAAATGGGTTGTTTTTGAAATGTTTAAATTGGTTGAAAATTTTTGGACGTTACAGAAAATTTTAACCTTAACACTGAAATTTTTGAACTGTTTAACAAAAAATGTAAGTTTTCACACTAACGCCCTCATCAAGTTTAAAATGATGTATTGTCCTCAATGCTTAGAGAAGAATGAACATCTCAATAAACCATATAAAAGCAAAAGGGGTGTAGCTATGAACGAATGTAGCTGATAAGTGCAAAAATTCTGATTTTGGCGAAGATTTTGCAAAAAATCTAAATTTCAGCAACTTTGTCGATCCTATGATTTTCCCAAGCTTGCTTGGAACTACGACCATCTCTATATTGAAAGCGTAAAAAATCTAAATACTACTCCTTGGGTTGTCTTCCGGAAAGCTGCTCATTTTTAAAGTCGTTGGCTCAACTTTACCCAACCAGATTTGCTAACTAGTGTAGTTGAGACTTCTCTGAAGCTCAACTCTCTTCATTGTCACTCCAAATCCCTTCAGATATGGCAAGATTGGTGGATTTGAACTTGTTCAGCAAACTGGAAAGACTTCAGATTTTCATCAGATAAGTCTTTCAGATTTCCAAATTTCTTTTGTTTTCTGGTCTTCTTTTGTTTCCATAAATCTTCTCTTTGAATTCTTTAAAATCTTTTCTTTTCAGATTTTTCTATGACGTTTTTTTTGTAGATACCAGTTTCTTTTCTAGTATCTTCTCAACTGAAATCATCACTTTCTCCTCTTCTTTTTCCAAAAGTTTGTTTCTTTTCATATTTTTAACTAATTTTTCCTTAGCATATTTTAGCTCCTCCTCCTCCCCAAGCTTATTTATGTTCAGCTTTTTATCAGCAACTAACTTCTCTTCTTTTTTCACAAGCTTTACTTTTTCTAGCTCTTCTGATGTGACAGATAATTTTCTGTCTACAAATTTGTCTTGCACATAAACATTAAAAAACTCACAACAGTCCTTAGATAAATGACTGTGATACCTAGATAATTAACAGAAATACTATCAGAAGTATCGTAATCATTCATTTTAAAATTGACTACATCCCCATCAAATTCCATAGAAAGTGTACCATCAAAAACATTAATTTTCGTTTTAGCAGTTTTTAGAAAATCATTGAGTTTTTATCTAATACAACTAAATCACCCACGTCCGAAATATAAAAAATCAGCGGGAAAAATAATCTCACCCACATGAACGAGAATGTCCTCCAATACACCTTTTGGGTGTAGTGTCGAGTGATTTGCTAACTGAATAAGTGTCATAGTCTTTTGTAAAGTTTCCAATTTTCATTTCTCAAAAACTGAAAAAGGAAGGGCATTGACTGATGCACTTTGGAAAAATAAGGTTCCCACCTTACAAAGAACTGAGAAAAATTCTCGGATCCATGCATTTTGAGGTAAAACCTTTTGCAAAATGACATAAATATTGTCACCAGCTTTGATAGTTTCATTAATTTTACATCTTTTA